GGAGGCAGCATCTCGGTCAGGAGAGGCCTCCTGCTGGAGATGGCGCAGTGGGAAAAGCAGAGCCACTTGTGGAGAAGGTGGTGCTCAGTCCCTACAGTGGGAACTGGAAGACCATGGCCTGTTTGTGTGATCCAAGGACAAGAAAGCGGCCTGGAGGGACTGAAGGGGGACATGTGACACAGGGGGTCAGAGACCCAGGCAGACACCTTATCACATAGAGCCCTCAGGAGTTCGAATGTTAGTGTGAAAAGGAGTTACCATAGGGTCAGTGGGAGACGTGGCACTAGATATATCACTGCTTTGGACAGGTTATTATTGCTGCTGATTGGACTTGGATTATAAGAGCAAGAATGGAGGTTGGAAGACATATATGATGCTCTTATGGCCTTTCATTTGAAAGATAATAGTGGCTTGAACTAGGGTAGTATAATGGGTATGGAGACAAGGCTACTTACTTGCAGGGTTTTGAGGAGGTGAAGTTTACAGGAAATTGACTTTGGTTTGAATGTAGGGAGTGAAAGAAAGATAGAAATCAAGTTTGACTCTTAGATGCTTGTTCTGATCCATTGTGTGAATGGTGGTGCCATATACCTGGGATGGAGAAGAGGGAAAGAGTGGCTTAAAGGAAAGTGCAGATGACAGGGCACCTAGGTGGCTCAGTAGGTTAAGCTTCTGCCTTTGGCTCAGCTCATGATCTCATGGTTCGTGACTGCCAGCCCTTGTTGAACTCTGTACTGTCAGCTCAGAGCCTGGAACCTGCTTAGGATTCATTGTCTCCCTCCCTCACTCTACCCCTCCCCAGCTTCTGCTCTCTCTCTCTCTCTCACAATAAAAAAAAAAAAAAAAAAAAAAAANAAAAAAAAAAAACAACTTTCGAAAAAGAAAGCACAGATGAAACAGATAAGACATTGCAAAAAAAAAAAAAAAAACCCACAAAACAACCCTCAGTATAACTGATACAAGGCTTTGTGAGGGACTTTGTCAAATTGAAAATGGTGAAAGGCTAATGGAGATCCAGAGGGTTCCAAGGAGGTAAAGACACAGTGGAATATGTTCAGGGCACATTCTTCAGCTTAGATATTTCATTTCTTCCTGAAATAAGCCAAACTCAACTTTGCAATTTAAACAAAGTTCTATCAAATGAAATGGGCTTCCCTCTCTGACACCTTCTCTCAGTATTGAACTTGATTCCTAGCTGCACTCCTAACCTTTCTTCTCTCCCATCTTCTCTCTCTGACAGTCCCTTGTATTTCCTGTGAGGACTCAGCATACCTTTTCTGGGATTTTCTTTGTTTGTTTTTGTTTTTTTGTTTGTTTTTTGTGTGTGTTTGTTGTTGTTGTTGTTTTCGCTGGCCCATTTTTGTCCCAACTTTACTGAAAACACAGTAAGATTCTCTGTCAAATCAAGTGTCTGCCTCTGCTCTTTTTCTTTGGTGACCTCTCTGGGGACCATGTCCAAGCTGGCATCTTTTACCCTTATGGCCCTTCCAAGGTCCAAAGGACGTTTTCTCCAATTATCTGCTAGCCATTCACACTTAGATTTTCCTGCAATAGTGTAAACTCAAGATGTTTCAAAAGAGCCTTTCACTCTTGCTCGATTTTCTACTGTTTGCCCTTTGCCTAATATTACCAACTACGATAGGAACTTTTGCTGTCTTTGTATCCCCCTAATGTTTAATTATATGACATGTTCCAGGGATCCAGCTTCTACATCACGTTTCATCCATTTCTTTCCATTTCAGTGTTTATCCCACCAGCTGAACTCAGGTTCTCGATATCTCCCACCCAGGTTGTTGAATTAGTCACCTCACTGGTCTCCCCTCCTCCATGCCACTCATCTTCCAAACTTCCCTTTGTGTGGTTCCAGGAGGGTCTTTCCAAAGCCCAGTTCCCATTACATTGCTCTCCAGCTCACAGATTCCTGTGGACCCATGTAGTCTACTAAACCAAGCATATATTCCCAGCCTGCAAAATACTAGATTATTTTCAGTGTGAACTCAATTTAACTTTCCAGGCTTATATACCACAGCTCTAACTAACTAATTAATTATTCATCATAACACTTACTGAGCACCCACTCAATGCCAAAAACTAGGCTGAGTTGGTAATAAAATGATGAGTGACAGCTCCCATGGGGTTTTCAGTGTAGCAGGCATATAGGCAAGAATAAGCTGTATCAGTGAGGTGCACTGGGCATCAGAGATGATCAAGGGAGACTTAATCTGTTTACTTAAGTCTGGGGAGATGTCTCAGAGGAAACCATGCTTGTATAAATATCAGGAATTTATTTTTGAATGCTGCAGAAAGGCCAAGGAAAACTAGCCCTATTAAGAAATAGTTAAAATATGAGGAAAAAGCTTGCACACAGGTCCTCCATCTGACACACCTCCTAGTCTGTTCGTTGAACAGTAGCTTGTTTCTACCTCAGAGCCTTTGCACCGTGGATTCTGACAATCCTGTTCATCACAATCTCATGGCAGGCTCCTTCATGTTCTTCTCACATTCCACTGATCCTCTGTCTAAACTAGTCCCTTACTTATCATTCTCTCTTACAACATCCTGTATATATTCTTTTTGCATAATCATCTTGCTATTTCTTTCATTTACTTGTTTACTGAGCATCTTTTCTAGTAAAATGTAAAATTCAAAAGTCCCTCTTGTTCACATCACCTGTCCAATGACTGTCACTTGGTAGGTGCTTAATAACTGTTGCCAAGTGAAAGGCAATGATGAAGATATGTGTATATGAATAAGTGAAAAATAATGAAAGATAATTGTATGCATGATGTTTATTCTGTTTTGAGTTAATAATTCTAATATATCAAGCAGTCCCTACTCTCATGGTTATTGCAGGCTGGGTTAGAAGACAAACAAATTAAGGACACACAAGTGAAGGTAAAAATTTACCTGTAGTAATTGCTACAGAGCATAGAGCACTAGGATTTGACTTAGTGAGAAGGTTGCCTTGAGATCTGCAGGTGAGTGGCAGGTAACCAGGGGAGAAGAAGTGAGGGCAGGGAGGGTGACAGAGGGGTTCAGACACTGGGCTTAGGAGCAAAGATACTGTGGCAGAGGAAGCATGATGACTGGAAGAAGCCATCGGGGCTGAAGCAGAGGGAACCAGGACCACAGTGGTACAAGGGAGAGGAGGGTATATGGAGAAGGGCCAATGCCCTGATGGCCATCTCAGGGTTTGGTCTTTATTGTAAGAGTCATGAAAGTCCATTGAACAGTTTCAAGTAAGGCTGTAACTCAATTCTCAGGAGTTATTTAGGGTAAAGAAGCAGAAGTCTGGTCCAGCAAGCTACCTTAATTCATGTGGCCATAGAACAGAGGGGACAGAAATGAAATGTGCTTAGGATTGACCATCTAGATCTCCCTCCGTGCTTAGTGTTCTGGGAGGCTGTGAACATGACAGGCCTTGGTTTTCCTTCTCTAGGAAGCTTGTTGGAACAGTTAAAAATGTAGTCACATGCCTCACCTACAAATACCAGTCAGCACAGGGTGAAGGAGAGAAATCAGTTGAGATAATTCATAAAAATGACAATCGTGCTGTTTGAGACCCACTAAGCAGGTTAAAGTTTAGTCCACCATAAATTTTATCCTTACCTAGCGACTTGCTTGAACTGATTTCAGATGTTTTCCCTATGAAATGTGTCAAAATCTCCCTGATTTATTCAGTCCCACAGTAACCACCTCCATTTGGGCAACTGCCAGGTGGCCTGGTCTCAACACTGAGGGAGGGATGTCTCTGAGGCAGTGAGTCTCTCCAGGGAGAAGTCTGCTTGCTATGTGTAGTGACCAGGGTAAGAAACAGCACTTGAGCCTGACTGAGGGCTGGACCAGATGAGGCATGGAAAACCAACAACTGTACCCCACACCCACTTGCAGCCCTGACTTCACGCAGGAGAAATCACTTATAGATCCACCAGCATGTGAGATGTGGCTTCTTCCCACATCCATTCAGGCCTTATATTATGAAGAATCATGGAATCAACAAACCTTTCTTCCTTTCTATCTTCTGCTTAACTTCCCTGTTCAATATTATTACCATTTCAGTGCTCCTTCCTCCCAAACAGTCCTTGATTTCCTACCTTTGATATACATGGTTAACTCCCCTGCCTCTGTGAGTAACTTCATGCACTGTCTTTCATTGCCCCATCTTGTACTGCTCTGACCGTGGTCACTCTGTTTCAGCACAGTCACTTCTGTCACAAGATGCTTGCTCCTGAACCCGGGGATTTAATTAAGAAACAAAGAAAAAGAGTATTCACAGGGATTGGAGTAAGGGAATAAAATGCTTCCTGGTAGCATTTCAGACAACAGATAGGTCCATAATGCTGACTAGCCTGGAGCTGCAGATGGAAGTTTATACTGTTTACTTTCCCTTCTCACAGCTAAGGTGAGCTGTAACACAACCTCATGGATAGATGAGCAAAAGCACATAATCCAGACATCAGTATGGTGTTGAGAGTGTCCACTCACCCTTCTAGCATTGGAACTCTCTTGTCCTAAGACATGGTGAACTAAGGCTAAGCTGGGAAAATATCTTGACACAGCTTGGGGTCTACATTACAGAAACCAAATCTCTTTCCTTCATCAGAGTTACTCAATAATAAGGCATGGTAGTCCTGCGATGGTGGGCAGGGATTAAGCAAATCAATCTTATACACAGGGATACGCTTCAGTAGAAGACCAGTAACATTAAATACAGAACTTGACCTCTTTGATCAGCTGCTTTGGGCCTGGATGCAGGGGGCTCCTTTAAGAGATTTTATAGTTTGGAAGCAAAATACATATACACACTAACTACACATATGCAGGTATAATAATGAAAACCTGAAGTAGAGATCAAAACATTTGAGGAGACTTTAATGTTAATTATAGTCAATGTTTAAAGAAAAAGAGGCTCACACATTTAAATAAGGAACGATCACAAATTTGTAATTAAACAGAAATTTCTTAACTACACTATTCTCTTCTAAGAGCAGTTGTGCTGTTTTCCCAAGTGTCCATCCGAGGTCTCTCCTTTAGGCCTCTTCTTCCTACACCTGCTTCATTAGTAAGACTCCCTTGTTCCCTTGTATATGTCCCAGTGATGGAGATGATCTGAATAGGTCTCATGGTAGGAATAAGTTCAAAATTCTATAGAAGAAATAAAAGAATTTGAATCCCATTACCCTTTTGGCACCCCAACCATCTTGTGTTTCCATTGCTTTGTAATTACAGAGAAAATCTTCAGGGAAGGGGTTATCATGTGTCCTTGGAATTCACACTCTTGACATACCAGGTATGCCCATGGCACCAGCAAGTAACCAGGAAAGGTCTTTTCCTCATTCACTAATCCCCCTCAGAGGTCCAGCTACATGTGTGTCGAGGTTGACACTCTGCTTCCTGTTTCATAGTAAGCATCCATCCAGAGGGCTGCAGATTTCTTCAAGGCCCTGTGGGAGGGAGAAACAACATCACCAGTAGGTGAGACTTTAATGTAAAAGGAGCTGCCCTGTGGAACATGTGCTTTTTTGCTTTGTTCAAGGCAGTATTTCCATTATCAGCTATATCTGAAAGACGTCTTTTCTGTTGCCCAGTGGAGGGAGTCAAATACACTGCATTGAGTTTTAGCAGATCAGTTCACCTTTTCTTTAGGGAAGAGGTTGAGTTTTTCTTTCATGTCATTCTCTTTTGTCCCCCAAACCATTAACTGTCCTTTTCTCTAGCATTAATTAAAAAGAAAAAAGGATCTCTGAGTCTCTGTAAGATAAGCGAATGCCTCTAAATCAACTCATCCTACTTTCTACGCACATCATATTTTGTAATGTGAAAGATGTTTTTCTATGTTCTGGAAATACAGCAGTGGGTAGGGGAGACAAAAGTCCCACCTATATGGAGTTCCTGGTCTAGCTTGGGAGACATATATATTATAATTTATTGTCAGATTGACTAACATACAATCTGTAAAGTCTGCTCTTGGCTTTGGGGGTAGAATCCCATGGTTCATCACTTACATACAACACCCAGTGTTCATCCCAACAAGGGCCCTCCACAAAGTCCATCTCACCCATTTCCCCCTCTTGGGAAAAATATATTAAGTAACTTATTAACCATGATGTTATTTAATCATGATTGTGATAAATGTTAAAATGAAGAGAAGCAGGTGCTGCAAGAGCATGTGACAGATTGAGTCTTGGGTTGAGGGAAGACCAAGATGAAAGAAAGGCATTTAAGAGTCTTGGGGAGGGGATGGAAATAGACAAGGTGATATAAGGAAAGGTGACAGACTGGAAGAACATTCTAGACAAAACCAAGGGGACAAAGGACAGGAAATGGCAAGGGCAGGGAGTTCTGTAGCAACTTCAGAGAGGCTAGGTCTCTGGAGGGCAGAGAAGGAAGGTGGGAGTGGTGGAGAGTCTAAAGCTGGAGCACTGCCCAGGGGTCAGTTCAGGCCAGGCCTGGCCTTGTCAGCATCATTCAAGACACTGGTATTTTTTTCCCTAATTCTAAAAGAAAGAGAAACTTAATAAACCCAAATCATTCGCTGCTCATACTCTCTAGAGGGCTGTGATTGCACCAACCTGAGTACAGATTCTCAGTCCCTGCAGGCTTCTCTGCTCTTGGTCAGTCACACACTTATGTCCCTCGACCTTATGGCATGTAGGTTTTCAACCCTGGGCTAGATGATTTGAAAGTCCCTTCCAGCACATAAATTCTAAAGCATGTCAAGCTTCTGTGAAGGATGCGGAGACAAATGACAGGCAGCCCTGGTTTTAAGAAGCTTGAGATTTAGTAGGGTCGCAAGACATTTTCACTAAGAAGTATCTAGAAGACAGTAGGTAAATGGTAAGAAGTATTTACTGTTATTGCATTGTTGATGTTCCCTGAAAGGTCTCATGTCCATGCTGGGCATACAGATGCCCCTTAACAAAGAGCTGTTGGGTAGATAACTCACAAGCCAGTGAGTAGTCTGGGGACTAGCAATGAGAGGGAATTGAGAGCTGTGAGCTGAGAGACGCTAATTACCTGGCAATATCTCCAAATGCTTCCAACAGGGGCTTTTTCACATACTGCAGTCCATGCTGGGCACACAGTGACCTCACCAAGGGTGCCACCTTGTGATAATTATGGCGTGGCATTGTAGGAAACAGACTAGGGAATCAGAGACAGGAGATATATAGCTTAGATTAAAAGAAGGAGTTTTTGTTCTCCTATTACTAGAAGTACAATACTTCTACTCAGGAAGCTCAAAAACATCTTGCCAAAACCTTCTAATCTTATCTCTTAACCCTCTGCATGCTCTGTGGGTGGCTATTGTTAGGGAAGACCTAAGAAACTTACCTCTATAAAATATAGAGTTTCATTGTTGATTATTTTAAGCCTCAGCTCTAAAGATGCAGATACAGAATGGGATTAAAATTAAATCTTAATTATGTTTCAAAACAGTTTGGATAAACAAGTATCATGATTTTTCTTGGATTTTGCCAATGAACCACATGTTAAAAAAAAAAAAAAACAGTGACCAATTCCTAAGTCCTTAGGAACCTACAAACTGAGTCTTTGGTATTTTTCCAAGATTTCCCTACATTTACTAACAATTGTTACACCTCCTTTCTTTCTTCCCTTCCTTACCATTGCTAATAGAATTGAGAGAATTCTAATTCACTTTTTCCATCTTAAATCCTGAGGTTAGGGCTTTCCCTGGACTGTATAGGGGAGTTGTTATAAGTGACAGCCTTTGCCTTTTACCGTGAACTGTTTCTATCACTTACTGGTGCTCAATCTGGAAGTTCTGATGCCCAGTGAACCAATCATTGAAAAAGGAATGCTCAACATTACAGGTGGCCAAGACCTGCAAAGAAAAAGCTTACATTAGATATAAGTGAGCCCAAGTGTCAAACAAAGAAGATGGTTATTTATTCCCAAAGTGCCTGGGTGGCTCAGTTGTTAAGCATCTGACTTTGGCTCAGGTCATGATGTCACAGTTCATGAGTTGGAATCCCATACTGTGTGAGCTTGAGCCCCACTTCAGGTGAGCATGAGTTCTTTTTGGGTGAGCCCTGCTTCTCTTTCTCTTTCTCTTTCTCTTCCTTCTCTCTCTCTCTCTCTTTCTCTCTCTCTCTCTCTCAAAAAAAAAAAAAGATGTTTATTCCCTTAATAAGTCAATCATTCAACAAGTTCCTATTTTGTGTAAGAAACTAAGAGGGATATAAAAGATACTCTTTGCCAGGTCTCAAGAAGATTATAATTTAAAAAGGTGCTAAGATATTTTGATAAGAAGTTTATAGAAAGCAAAAGATATGAAGAAGTATGTGGGATTTGAGGGGGCTAAATCACCATCAGCCGTCAGATACAGAAGGATAAACTGTCATGAATGAGGACTCTGGTAGATGGGAAGTGGGATTAGAGGATTTTGGTAGAGATTGTAAGGGTTAGAATACCATTTGCATAGAGGACACTTGAACGACTTCTAAATGGGAAGTAAGACATTCAATTGTTCAGCTGAGGTTTCTGAGCATGGAAGAGCATTTCAGTTTAAGTAGTTTCCTTTGCAATCTAATGTATTTTATTTCACGAACTTAAAACCATTATCCTGAGAAGGAGTTCATGGGCTTCTCCAAACATTTATGATTAAGAACGCTTATGAATGTCATTTTACTCAATGCCTTTCTAAGGTTTAATTCCATTTTGCATTGTTGCCATTTGAATGTTACTTTTGTGGTTGTTTTATGTCAATGTTTCTCAAAGTGTATTTCAGAGCACTTTAGGGTTCTCTAAGATCCTCTCAGGGGACCTGCAAGGTTAAAGCTTTCCAGAATACTTCTTTGTTTTTTCATAGTTTATTGTCAAGTTGGTTTCCATATAACACCCAGTGCTCATCCCCACAATTGCCCTCTTCCTTGCCCATCACCCCCCTTCCACTCCCACCAGCCCTCATCAGCCCTCAGTTTGTTCTCAGCTTTCAAGAGTCTCACATGGTTTGCCTCCCTTCCTCTCCGCAACTATTTTTCCCCTTCTTCTCCCCCACGGTCCTCCGATAAGTTCCTCCTAATCCTCCTATACATGCAAACATATGGTATCTGTCCTTCTCTGCTTGACACATTTCACTCAGCATAACACCATCAAGGTCCACCCATGTTGCTACACATGGCCAGATTTCATTCTTTCTCATTGCCATGTAGTATTCCATTGTATAGATAAACCACATCTTCTTGATCCACTTTCCCAGAATACTTCGAAAACAGCATTTGCCTCTCTTCGTTTCCAATCTCTCATGCTCGTACAGTGGATTTCTTTCCAGAGGCTTCTAAACATAGGATGGCATCATCATTTTGCTGGTTAACATGTATTGGTTTTATTCTTGATATTTGGAAGTTAATTAATAAATAAATGTTTTAAAATTCTCAGTTTTGAGTTCAAATACAGTAAATATCAATGGATATAACCCACATGATAAAAAGCTCTTTGAGGTTCTCAAAAACTTATAGGAATATAACTTTGAAGAATATAAAGTAGTCTGTGACCAAAAAGTTTGAGAACCAATACTCTATGCCCTAATGTATGGTCCATTGAATTTGGGAATAAGCTTGGAGAAGGAAGCGGTAATAATCATAGTGCCTGTGTTGTGTAGTTACATGAAAAGCACTGGACAGCCACTAGCTCCTAGCAAGCATTCTGTAAGTAGAAATCATTATTATTATCTGTGGTAGCCACACTCTAAATTAGTATAGCTGAAGGATCTTCTACCAGGATCTCCACCTTTACCTGAGTGCTGAGCCAGTCCTGGTTCTCCTCTTTGTTCATTTTCATTGGTATGTGGCTCATTTGGGTAACAAGTGTTACCCAAGGACTTTCAAGAAACCTTTCAGAAAATAAAAGGAGACAGTGATGATTCCTTGGGAGTGTTTCAGTTCCCATCACTGGGTTTGCACAACTGCTATTGGATCTGGTTGAGATCTGGAGGAAAGGAAAGGGAATCAAGGATTCCTATAAAATGAAGGTCATTTATTTTTCTCTTTGGAGACCCTTTATATGTAGGGATGACACACTGGGTTTCTGGTCACAAGCCCAGCCTTGCAGCTCCACACTGCAGAAGACCATACTGCAGCAGTATGAGTGCAGAGGCCCCAAAGTTTTCTGCAACATTGGTACAAGGATCAAAGGATACCTAGGGCATATGCAAAGTGACTGACAGCCTTGGCTTTGCCATCAGATAGAACTTGGCTCAAGTACTGCCACTGGCCCTTACTTGCTCTATAACTTTGATAAATGATTCAATCTCTCTGAGATTAATGAAGATGATGCAACCTACATTACAGGGAAGTGCAAGGATTATATCAAATAAGGTAAGATAATGCAGGTTAATCCTTAATAGAAGTGTGGGATGCATATTAGTTGTCAGTATCCTTGTTATTATGTAGGGTTTAGAAATATAATGTGAAAGAATGGGGAAGGAATACATTGGGAAGTCGAAGAGAGCTATTTAGTTGAAGTCATTTTGGTTTTGAGAAAATCTCTACCCGTAAAATAACATTAAAAATATTTTTCCTTCCATTATTTTTACCAAGGATTACAGTATCCATCTGGATTCCACTTCTAAAGGGCTTCAGGATCCAATGGAATTCTGAAAATTTGAATTAAGCATGTAGGAGGAAAAGGGCAAATTCTTTTTCTAAAGAACTCTTATTTAATTATTTCAACTTAAAAAAACCATTTTATGTTAATGTCTCAGTTACAGAGAATGGGCATGGTGTCCCAATCTTCTGCTGAAAACAAATAGCTCAGATAAGGAAGGTAAGAAGATCATCTAGGTTATGGGAATAAAAGAATACTCTTACTTTCTTACTTGACAAAATATATAAGCAGTATGGTTCCAAAGATACCATAGAAAGGGCCAAATGTGATAAAATGGCGGATGTAAAAGCTGCTGACCCAGGCAATATCCTGCAAAGAAAAGTGATTGACAGTTAAATACCCTGGACACAAGTTCATTTCCCTTTCAACTGCTAGGGCCCCTTTACATACTGGCTAAATTGTATGCCTTATTACTCAAAGAAGCTACATCTGGAAGGAGCCAAGCATTTTCATGCCTCCTGCTCTACCTGATCTAGCTTCAGAGGATGAGTCAAGTTACTCACTGCCCAATATCTTCGAAGGTACATCATTTGCATGGATGCCAGGTTGAAATATACAGATGTGAGAAGGGGAAGCCCAACTGAAAAAGAACACAAAATGGATGGTGAGTAAATGAGTAGAATTTGACCACAGTCAATTTGGCAGGAGTCCATCTCTGAACATGTCACCCCTGTAATGATGCCCCTGAAAAGGAATACAAAATGGAGATCTACAACCACATCCTGGACTTCTTGGGGCTCTTTGAGTCTCTGAGACCGAACCAGGTTTTGGGTCAAGCTCTCTCAAGGACACTCAGGAAGAGGAAGCTGTGAAGATTTGAGTCATTGTTAGGGAGGCAACCCAGAAGAGCTCCTGCTGTGAACTTTCAAACTTCCTGAAGGCCCATGGAATCCATCAGGCCATGAGAATCCTTAGGATTGGGCTCTGTCACAATATGTCCAGGTGGCAGAAGTATTAAAACCTATATTCACGAGGAGAGAGAGGGCTGGATGGCGGAGAAGTAAGGAGCTCCGTACTTGCACTCGCGCCCATACATCACACAGAAAAGATCTGAAGCCATTGGAAACCTTACAAAACCTGAGAGATTGGGAGAAAAAAGACGCAGAATCCACTGAGAGAGCCTTCTAACCGGGCTC